AAAGCATAAGATATGAAGTGAAATTAAAATATCCCAATAGTATGATAACATGAAATATAGCTCAACTCAAAATTCTATCTTTCCCAAATCCCAGTATTCTTTTCATTAGCATATAATTCAAATTTCCAAAAATAAATAGCAATGACATATCACATAACAACTCATAAGTCATCAGCACTGTCATCACTAAGGGGTTCTTCATTTGAATCATCATTATGATGAATTGCTCTCTCCCCTTCCTCCTCTCCTATAGAGTCCAAAGTCGGGCATTTACGTCAAGATTTATGTAAGTTTTAATATATATAGCGTGAGGCATAAGCCTCATGCCAGTGAGGCGAGCCGGGCCTCAACCAAGTTGAGGCGCAAGCCTCATTAAAAAAACTCGAGGCGTAAGCATCGAGGTGTTTTTTATTGGAATTGCGCAAAGGCGGGCCTCAAGACGAGCCTCATATTGCGTAATTTTAAACCATGAACATACTTAGATCTATTTGTTAGGACAGGACTTTTAGCTTTAGGTTATGCCGGTATTTTCTTCATTTCTGTCTTTGTGTTGTGGTGATTTACATGTGAAACATGTATTGGTTGATTTGTTGTTTGTGTTAATTTCATGCACACACTTAGATGAGGTGATGAACTTGGGGAAGTTTAGTCTTCTAAAAAAATTATTTTTGTAAGCCATTTTAAAATTTCACACATTTTTGATTTAAAATTTTTGACTAGCACACATTGCATTAGAAACTAACTAAAATTAAAATTTAATTGTATTTAGTCCTAGATGCATAATACTATTCATGAGTATACGGCCACTTAGGAATCTCTCTAGACGTCAGTCTTAAATTTCAAAAATTTAACCACCCACCCATCTTTAATAAAAATTGGACAACATGAATTTTATACGATTGTGGTTTAGATGGCTTTCTTTTTAAGATAAGCTATAAGTTTAGATAGCATTAGTTAGGTCGTGGATATTAGTACTATGTATACAGTACTATATCCATTGTTGATTTATGATCAAATGCTAATAGTACTTGTGTACTGCTGTATGCCTTATCGGTGAGTAAATTCTCTATCTTTCAGAGACTAAATCTCATATATCCGCGTCACATGGATGATAACATCTCTATCTTTCTCTCGTGCATGCTTGAAGTGCAATATCTTTTTCTTCAGACCGGCCGAGTGATGACATGATTTGCATGTTGATTAAATCAAATATAACCTATCTTTTTCTTTGGATTAGGAGACTAGAAATTTTCTTACGTGTCAAATCCTCTGAGGGAATAATATAGCGTTCTTAATCGATAATTTTCTTAAACCGATGCTTAAGATGTAATTAACAAGCCCCAGTGGAAAATCAATTATCACATCAAATAAATCTCATTCGAGCTGATGTATTGAATGGGGGAAATTAGGTTATATATATTATTACCCATCGAGGCGTGTAAGTAAAAACGTTATCCTCTATGGCTAATCATATATATGATCTCATTAGTTCTTTGATTAGTCTGCTTGCATACATTGTAATATCATTTTGTTGTACAGGATAATGTGATCGGACCCTTTGCATTCTGTTCCCCACCAGTAGAATTCTTTCGGAGAACCACATATTTTAGTCAAACAAAGATATATGAGAAGTAAGGATTTAATTCAAATAAAGTATATACAGAAGGAAAATCAAATAACACTTCTCTTATAAGAGGATATTCAACATAGGTGGATGAGATATTTCGATAAACTTTTCAATAAAGATTGTGTGAATATGATTGACTTTAGTAACCTTAGCACTCTAAATGAAAATAGATATTTTTTATTTTTATTATCACTATATCAATAAAATCAAAGTTGAAAAAATTTTAAAGAATGAAGTGTGGAAAATAGTAGGACCTGATGATATTTTTATGGAAGTATAAAAATGCTTAGAAGATTAAGAATTTTTTTTGTCTTACTAAACTCTTTAATATTATTTGAAGACTTAAAAGATGTCAAATGAGTGGAGAAAGAATGTGTTGATTCTTATGATGCACGCACAAACCTCTTGAAGAGAGAATGCAATGTTGGACACGTGTTGGACACGGACACATGCCCGACACGGCAGACACGTGTTCGATTAAAATATTATTTAAATTTAATCGAACACGGATGGGACACGTGTCAGACACGATTCCTATGATGCATGCACAAACCTCTTGAAGAGAGAATGAAATGTTGGACACATGTTGGACACGGACACATGCCCGACACGGCAGACACGTGTTCGATTAAAATATTGTTTAAATTTAATCCAACACGGCTGGGACACGTGTCAGACACGATTGTGACACGCGTGTTTTAACTTTTTATGATAAAGTTATTTTAAATTATAAAATTTTTATATTTACTAAATCAAATGAAAGATCACATTCGCTCGTATATGCGTCAATACGAAAGGCATGAATATTAGAGAATGAATTTTTTTTAGAGAAAGTAATGATTATTGAAAACATTTTTTTTTTAAGATTATTGAAAACATTTATGCTTGCCTGTGTTTGCAATTTTTAGTGACGTGGAATAAGAAGAATATTGATTATGTCTAGAATATCTTTATATGCATGCATTACATTAATTCTAATTAATGGGATTTGTTGAAATATGTGAAAAGTTAGAATGATATAGAAAATATTTAGAATATAAAAAATTTAAGATCATTAGAATAAATATTAATATATAATATCCAATGAACTATTATGGGAGAGAACTAGAGAACTAGAGAAGTATAAAAGTAAATATTGACCTTGTTTTAACCTAAACCTTAGGTCAAGGGGGTTGACTTGGTCAAATTGACCAAGCCAAACCCCAAGACCCGTCCCATTGAGTTCAGTGGGTCAAACCTAATCTGTGGAGCGCAAACCCAGGCCCAGGGTCAACCTGGTTGATCATGTCAACCTAGGTTGACCAATTAACCCAAATCCTCTTCTTTTGAATTCAAATAAATTCCATGCCTTTCTTGGCTCAATCCCTCACCTACTTGGGTTTAATTGACCATATTAACTGAGTTAACCCATGCCTTTGTCAAACCTAACCTCACATGGTCAAATTTGACCTATTTAGGTCAAAGTCTTCTCCTTTAATACATTTAAAGCTTTCTAAATCATACCTTGGCCAAAACCACAGCTAAGAGGGATTAATTCCCTCCTAATTAGCCCTAGGATGAATCCTAGCCATTCATCATGACGCTAGGATTATAAATAGGGCTATTTAGGGTTCCATAGGGAGGACTTTTGCAATTACTTTCTCCCCAAGCCTCCTAAGCTTGAACCCTCTCGTGTGTGAGCTCTCCTGACCTCTCCCCATCTTCCCTAAGTTAAACCCACCGGCAAATATCCGCAGGCGGCGAGATCTCCGGCGAACCGATGCTTAAACCCTTCCAAAGAAGATTCCCGACGATCCACTGCATTTCGAAATGCTGGTTCTTCTACAAATAGGAGCGTGGACAGTCTACAAGTGAAACAAGCTCAAGATTTCTTGAACCCATCCATTGGATTAGGTAAAATCGCAAACCTTAGTCTAGGACACTTAGATCCAAATAACTTTTCATATGGTGCGTTTCAGAACGCGATTCTTATCCCTTATGAATACTCTTCACGCATGCTTCCTAAGTTTAAAATTTCATTAGGTTCCATTGTGGATCGAGAGAACGAAATGAATTATTGTTTTAGGGTTCGATTTACATAACGTTTATGTTACGTACGAGATCTCACAGTTCCGCGGTTCGTTCCGATCGCGGATCTCGATCATGCGGTTAATTCCTTCGTCCGACGCAATCTGGTCCGTTGATTCGAATTGCGGAGGATCCAACGGCGCAGTGTGCTGCTGACTCGGATAAGTCAGCTGCTACGCCGTCAGCCATTCATTAGCAATGATTGCGCTTTCGTACAATCATTGCCAATGATTGGAAAACGTGTCCGCGGTTTGGGGCAGCGAATCAAAGCTCGCCATGTGTCATTCGCGCCTCCGTTTTTATTTAAATTAATTTTAAAGTTTTTTAAATACATATTTCTGTAAATGTTAATTTAAAATTATTTTAAACCCAAAAAATACATATAATATATCAAATTTTTTAGAAATTTATTCTCTTTAATTTAAAAATAAAATTAGTTTAAGGTATTTGAAATTTTTGGACTTTTTAAAACACTTAATTAACAAACTCTAATTCACCTTGTAATTAAGCTTTGATAACTTAAGAAAATTCTAATAAATTCAAATAAAATTAAAAAATTATTTATAATATATCAAACTCTTTAGAATTCAATCCTTAATCTCAGAAAATTAAAATCCTATTAATTGGACTTCAATCTGGACATTAATTTAATTTTGATTAAAAATTACTTATTTAATTAAATTAAATAATTAAAAATTATTAAAAATTTCAAATTTTTTCCAAGCACTTGGAAACATCTCTTTAGGTCATTCATGACCTTTGGAGGTGATTCCAAGAAGTTTAGAGCTGATTTGGATCAAAACTCCTAAAATGTCCTTAATTAGACAATTTCAATAATTCATTAAATATCCGAACTTTGAAAAAACATAACTAATTCCAAAAAAATTCAAATTGGGTAAGCTAAAAGACATTCAACTCCAATTAAAATCTAGTATTTATTAAAAAGATTAGCTTTCTAGAAATCAACCTAAATTAAAAAGTCAACTCTCCAATCAAGCGTAGTTCGATAACCAGGGTCCGAAACTTCTAAAAATTATAACTTTGCATGGAAAACTCCAAATCCAGCAAACTTAAAGTTTAACTACTACTTTTAAGATCAAATATTTAATAAAAATGCAGAAACCCCCAAAACATAACTTGCTTCTAAAAGTGACCTGCTGAAGATATTTAAAACTTTGCATGAATAGACCTTGTATCCAATAAAGTGCTAGTAAAAATGAAATTAGAAGAGAGCAATTCCCTTCACTAGGTTAATGACACCTCCAGATCACTTTATTGCATGGTTCCTTATGGGTGCATACTAGCCATGGAGGTAACGCTACTAACTTCAAGAAGGAAAGAAACCTTGATGGCTTTAAAAGTAGTCACTATTATTAGAATCGATGGAGAAGCTTTTGAAACCTTCATGGACTCAACACTCCGAGTAGCGGACAAAGCAATTGTTGATGCAATTGAAGCTGCTACTACAAGTGTTGGCGGTGAAGTAAACTTTGGTGTTGATGAAGAAATTGGAGCAACAAATTAAACATTGGAATGCTTTCTTTTTGTTTTAATCTCCTTAGTAGGTAGGTTAGAGACTCGACGTAGCTGCCTATTGTGTCAAAAGAGAAACATACACACTGGTGATGCAGATCAAGAAAAACAAGGATGATTTTACTTCATATGTTATCTTCAATACATAAAGAATTCAAAATAAGGGTAATTAATGTGGGTTGTAGATTTGCTCTCTATCCAAGATTTAATTAGAGCCTTCCTTATGGAACCTATTTAATTGAATAGACATTAGATGTAGGATCAATGATGTGAAATTGACTGGTAGTTACTAGTGTAGACTATGATTTGCTGAGCTAGATGTTTTCAAATGATTCAATCCGTGGTGATTTGTCTTGGCCATCATTGAACAAACCCTACAAGATGTTAGACCGATCCACTGGACCGGTCCAGGTGGGACCGGCTTACGGGCGAAACAATGGATCTTCTTCGCCTGCTGCGGATGCCGCGCGAGCCGCAAATCCACGGGAGCTGATTTAGGAAGGATTTTTGAGAAAGTTTAGGAGGGAATTTGAATGTAGGGTCTGTTAAGGGATTTCCTTTTGATTTGTATGTATTAAATACTTTGTTTTCCTAGGATTAGGGCATCTTGAATTTGGCTGAAATTTGAGATCTCTTAGATTTAGGTTTTCTTTGGGCTCTAGCGACATCTAGAGATTTGGGAGAGATCGATCATCCTCTTGTGGTTTTTGGTAGAGAAAGCTCGCTGGTTTTCAAAGATAGGAAATACTTGAGATCTACAAGTGTTTTCTATCACAAGACCAATCTAATGGTTAGGTGGATTCTGCTCAACTAGTGCTTGATTCAGTATGAGGCTGATGACCAAATAGGTCTACATGGATCTTGATGCTAATGATTGTTAAATTTTTAGGTCTTCGGGGCAGGCATTTCAAACATATAATCCGTGACTAATTTAGATGTTTGACACGTGTTCATCCAATGGCATTTACAAAGACATTCAACCGCAACCAATAATTATCATCTTTTCTTCAAGCATACATTCTATATTCATTTTTATCAATTAAGTTTTTTTAAAGTTTTTTTTTAATCCTACTCTGTAAGAATTAAGCATATTTAATCGGGTTGAAACTTAAATCACACAAGGGTGACAAATTAGCAAACCGTTACTTCGCATAGTTGTATTAGTTATTTCTGTAGAACTAGTAAAAGTTGAATTATACTCCGAATGTTTGCATGTATTTTATGATTAAAAATCAATCTATTATCATCCTTCAATTCTCAGAATTTGAGATTTGGACCTCCAACAACGTTTTAGCCGAAGACTTGAGCATATCTGATCTACCTGAGAAATTATATCTAATTACTCTATTTGAAGGATATCTTAATCATCTTTAATAATTCTCTATTACAATTACTTTCCCAATTCCCGTGGAGTGTTCGAAAATATTAGACAGAAAGATGGGGATATGCTTTACAACAAGTTCTTGCATGCAACTTAGGTTCCGTTTGTAACAGTTTTCTTACTACTTTCTAAAACAGCTATCTAGTACAAAAAATACTTGAAAGCAACAAAAAAATAGTAGCAAAAAACAGTAAGGCTTCGTTTGGGACGGCTTTCTTAGAAGGAAGCAGTAAGAAAGCCGTCCCAAATAAAGCCTTAATCATAGAGTATCATTTAATATTTTAATCTTAATTACTTTATTGGACTAACAATCACACTATTTCAATCGAAAACCATTGAAATAAAATTCTATTAGGATGTGTTAAAAGCCATCAGATCTATTTTGAGATTAGTGCTCTATGAATTCTTCCTATATAACATTAAGCTCAAAGAAAATTAAATATTTTTCAAGCCCATCCCTAATACAAATGGTATAAGGATACATTGACAATTGTTTGACTCTCTATGCCATTTTTTGTTCTTCAATTTTTCTTAGAAAGTTTGCTTATGGTGATGCAGTTAACTAACATTTGCTGATGCATGGTTGTGTTAGATGCTTAATCCTGCTCAAATTAGCTATGAGGAGTATGAAAGTATGAGAGATCTCATACTTCCGCTTGGCCGATCAACTGAATTCTCCATATAGAACAATATAGTGAGACTCTGTAGCTTTTGGTGATGAAACTGTACAACTGTTTAGATCAAATGTGGGAAAGTGATTGAGCAATTTTGTGTTGTTTATTTGTATAAATTTTGTAAAACTTTGTTCTATTTTTGATAACCCTCCAAGCACCTATTTTTCTATCTGACATCAAATAGTGAGATCCAATTTGTTTAAAAAATTGCTTCATCTCTGTTAAAGAAGTTCGGTTGAAAATCTTTGGCTTAGTATGATTTCTATTTTCTATTTGTTTTTTGTGTAGAAAAAAACAGGGAATGAATTTTAGATTCTATTTGGATGAAAAAGTGGATAGTTTTGAGGATACATAGTTCAACAAACTTAATATTGCAACAAATGTATCAAGTCTTTATTCTACTACGTGGGATCTGTTATATGAATTTTCATTCTCCATTATATTTTATTATGAGTTGAATTTTCATTTAAATCTAATAAATAAAAGAATATTTTTAAAATTGACTAACCAAAAGTTTTTTAGGTATGTCTCTACTTTTTTTTTTAATACAGGTTGTATTTAATATATCTACTCTTCTAACATTTTGTGGGACTGAGCTTCCTTTTGGGATAGTTTTTTGGCCGCTTTCTAAAATAATTTTTTAGTATAGATGTTTTTAAAAAAGAGAATAAAAACATACATTCTAAGTTTTGAATGGTGGATATCTTAGCCTATTATAATGTTCCCAAATTGCTTTTATATTGAGGTTGGAAATGAAGGAATGCGACAAGTGATTTCCATCTTCAAAATGATATAACCATCCTTCTCTATAACTTGCCCAATCGTGTTCCCTGTACTGAGGTCTTGAAATACATAATAATAAGCAAAAAATGTTATCTTACAGTTATGGTATTTAGTGATTTTATGGATTAATAGATGATTTACTGTAATAAGGAATATATAGTTATTGAGAATAAATGTGGATGAAATCGAAATAATATCTTTACCTACAATAGTTCTTAGAGAACCCTTGGTCACTATTATTTTTTTATTACTAGGACAGAGTTTGTAGGTTTAAATTTTTTTTAGCAAAGTTGGTCATATGGATATGGTTAGTGGCTCATGATTCTGGGATCCAGATGTAAGGGGAGTTATTCATGGAACTAAAAATACTAGAGTTAAAAGTCATATTGTTTTGAGGTAAATAGCATGATTTGGTTGATTTTTCTAGAGACTTGAGAAGTTTTTGAGCTTGTCTATTTCTTCTAGATTAAGCCCGTTTTTGAGCTTGTCTATTTCTTCTAGATTAAGCCCTTCCAATTCCATTAGACAAACCCACCCTTTTTGGTGATATTCTTTATTTTCACTATAGCCTGGGGATATTTCCGTAGATTTCAAACATTTGTTTTTGATGAGTCATTTCTTCTTATGGTAGTTACACCATAAATTGCTTTTGGAAGAACACTTTGCCCTTCAAATAAAGAGTTTGTAGCAATAAATCTCTTAACTTGAGGTTTAGTGGTTGTGATAATAGATATTTTGTAGATCTGAGCGTCAAGTATTACCATCCTTCTTCCATCTTCGGCTTATATGAGAGAAAAAAAATCTTATTTAGTGATTGTAGTTTTCACTTCTTAAGAATTGGATGTGGACTTGATCGACGTCATTAATGATTCATGTAAGAAACTCAAACATCCTTTCTCTTTCTATAAATTCCTTAAGAATTATTGAATCATCGTAGCATGTCATCTTGAGATATTGATAATAATGCAGTTCAAAACAATAAATCTTCATCGCATTACAGTGCTCAACAACAAGAATGTTGTCTTGTTTGGTTATTGAAATTTTAGTTTTAATCTTGTAAATGAGGACAATATCATTCACTTATGAATATATTTCATGATCATTATATGATTGCGGAATACAATAATTCTTTAAATCAGTGGGACATGTATGTTTCTCCATCAGCTGCACTTCCTTCTTCGGCTTATATGAGAGAAAAAAAATCTTGTTTAGTGATTGTAGTTTTCACTTCTTAAGAATTGGATGCGAACTTGGTCGACGTCATTAATGATTCATTTAAGAAACTCAAACATCCTTTCTCTTTCTATAAATTACTTAAGAATTATTGTATCATCGTAGCATGTCATCTTGAGATATTTGTAATAATCCAGTTCAAAGCAATAAATCTTCATCGCATTAAGTGCTCAACAACATGAATGTTGTCTTGTTTGGTTGTTGAAATTTTAGTTTTAATCTTGTAAATGAGGACAATATCATTCACTTATGAATATATTTGTTTGATGAAATCTTAAAATTTTTTTTGCTGATGGAGAAACATGCATGTCCCACTGATTTAAAGAATTACTATATTCCGCAATCATATCATGATCATGAAATATGCTTCATCCCAAAGTATAAATTTTGGGTCTTTCTGCTCCAGAGGATGATCCATAAGATGGATCTTTCCCTTTCCTTCCATAAACCATTTATGATAATTTCATCTCTTCAGGTGATATGGGCTTATAGCCCTATAGTTCTTCTTTAGTATGGTTTTTACCATTTAAGATGGTCGACTCCTTTGAAGGGAAGTTAAAAAAATCAATCATAATGAAGAGAATGAAGAATCTCAACAAGAAGTAGAAAATGAAAGAGAAAATATTGGAATATGGAAACATTGACCTTGCTCTTATACCATGTAGAAAAGTACATAAGTAGAAAAATTACTTTGAATTTTATTTCTTAATTCTATAAAAAATGTGATAGTATTTATAAACTTCTCCAAAAAGATTTACAATGGAAATAATTCAAAGTCATTTATAATAAAGAGAGAAAAGTTTTCAAGTGGGGCAGGTGAAGAATAGAAAGCAGAGGCACATGAGTTGCAATATAAGAGCTATAAGATGATTGTTCTAATGCTTAGAACCCTTGATTTGTGTGCTCAAGATTTTCTACCAAAATTGATTGTTTCTACGACCCTTCAATCTTTATTTATTTATTTATTTATCGAAACTCTTGGATGTGTATGATATCTAGAGAAACCAACTTAAAAAATATGGTTAAGTTGTGAAATACTTTCTGAACCCAATGGGATTTCTAATAGTTGGCACAAACTAGGATGGTAAAAAAGAAATGTTGGATCTGCTTTTCTTGAAAAATTGACCCTTCCCATCCTCCTTTCCTTCCCATCCTCCTTTCCCACCCATATCCTCTCTTAAATTTAATTTGTTTTACATTTTGTTATAACATGAGTCTCCACTATGGCTTAGAAATATTTGACATATCACCTCTTTTTGATGGGGAATTTGTGAACATGTTGATTGCTTGTAACTTGTTCAACTTACACTTCTTAAAAAAAAGGTTATGCCTTCAAAAATAGAATTAGCGATTTTTTATGTTATGGATCCATATATTTGCTGTGTAGACCATAATAAGATTTTGCAGTACACCAACACCAACACCAAGCATTTATCCCACTACATAGGGTCAGCTACATGAATCCTTTTTCCCCATTGTGTCCTGTTAAGAGTCAAATACTTATTTAAATCTAATAAAGAAATGTCATTTCTAATATTCTCTAACCAAGTCTTTTTAGGTCCACCTCTACCTTTCTTAACATAAGCTAAATCTAATACATATCCTTTCCTAATCGGGTCATTGGAAGGCCGCTATTTTATGTGACCAAATTATCTAAGATGACTCTCACTAATCTTATCTTCCATTGGAGTTACTCCAACCTTTTCATGTATATGCTCATTTCGTATCCTGTCTCTAAGAGTAAAGCTACTCATCCACCCGAGCATCTTCATCTCTGCAACACTTAACTTAATATTATGCTTCTCTTTTAATGGCCAACATTTTGCACCGTAAAGCATTGTAGGTCTCACCGCCATCTTATAGAATTTTCCCTTAAGTTTTTGGGGGACTTTTCTATCACACAACATGCCTGATCCATTCCTCCACTTCAACCATCCAACTTAAATTATGTTAACAATATCTCCATCTATTTCGCCATCACTCTGAATAATAGATCCAAAATATCTAAAACATGTACTCTTAATAATGACTTGATAGTCCAAAGTCACAATCACCCCACTAGATCTATTACTACTAAAATTACACTCCATATATTCAATTTTAGATCTACTCAAACGAAATCCTTTAGACTCAAGGTAGGCCTCCGTAATTCAAGTTTACCTTCAACTCCCTCTCTAGTCTTATCAACAGGAAGGATGTCATCAGTAAAAAGCACACACAAGGGCACTATAAAATACTGTTGAATTGCATATATACTAGTTATAGGAGTGATCTTTAGGAAGTGCGCGCCCATGTAACTATCCTGCACTGATGCAGAGATTATGGCGAGGGCAATTTTATGTTTGAACTTATTATTGTGTTGGACAATATACACAAGTAGTAAATCATCTAGTTTGCTTCTAGTATATTTGCTGTGCAATCTCTACTAGTTTTTAGCTTTGCATGATAATAACTGGGGGCATGATTTACCATGTTTTTAATTGACAGGGGACTCACTCAACAAAAACAATATCTGAGGTTAGTGGTACTGGAAAGAAGCCATACAAGCAAAAGGGAACTGGGCGAGCAAGGCATGGTACATTGCGTGGGCCACAGGTTACATTTGCAACTTTTGTCTTTGCTGTCCATTTCCTTTCTAACCTTTGTCTTAGATATGATATGAACCACATGCACGTAGGTCAGGTGTATATTTCACCAACCTTTGAAAGGGAGGTCCACGTTTGACCTTCCTCAAAATTTCAAAGAAACTGTTAGATACTCTACATAGTATCCAAAAATATTAACAGATGTTCTGGAATAGCTACAGGCTCATTGTATGTTATCCTAACAGTTCAGGGGTGGAGCTACCATGCACGGACCTAAGCCTAGAAGTCATGCAATCAAGCTACAGAAAAAAGTTCGACGGTTGGGGTTGAAAGTTGCTTTGACAGCAAGAGCTGCAGAGGGGAAGGTAATTTGCATTTTCACTTAGTCGTCGCATTGCTACACATAACTGCTAAGTAATAACTTCAGTCAAAATGTGTCAGCGTCCCTTTTTTGCTTCTTTGAAAACGGTTTCCTTTGTCTCTGTGTAGATGCTTTGCTTCTTTTTTTGACATTTCAATATTACTTGATGAGAAATGAGTTTTATTGTATCTCAGCACACCCATTCCTAGATTTGCTGGAATTTCATATGTTGGATATGCTCTCTTTTTTATGTCTTGTTCTACTTGGTGGTTTACAACATTGTTTATAATGTTGTAATGCACTTTGCTGTTGGGACCACTCAATGCGGCTAACTGGTGAAATAGGAACAATTTGACTCTTGCCCTGATTTTGATAATTGCTACGGCAGCAGATTTAAAGTTTCCACTTTCCACAATCACCCACCCACTCCCAATGGTTATCTCAGATTTCAATTTAAAAAAAAAAAGTGTGTTTACCAACTTGAGAGCATTGAAAGTAGATTGGAGGATGTTGAATAGTTTAGAATATTGCAAAGAGAACCCAAGGCTGTTTAATAGTTTTGGTACTGTGGGAAATAACTGGGAATTTTCAAAGCAGCTTTTTCAGCAATGAAATGCCAATTTATTATCTGATTTGCTAGGATCACAATGCATGATAAAAGATGGGAAGACATCAATACATTAAGGGTTTGTTAAGCTCTGCGCTTCTTTTTTTTCTTTTAAACCTGTCATCCATGTGTGCCAAGGTCATAGTTGATGGTGGTGAGTTGTGTGTTTGTGTTGGGATGTGAGCCGTACTTCTGCCCCCATTTTCTTCCTTCTCAGCACTTGGGAACATTAGGTTGCTCTAGGGCCAACTTCGACCTATGGACATGCTATTCGATTCAAATAGATGGTGAGAAATCTATCTAACACCCTTTTTATGATCAATAATCCTTAAATAGCCAGCCTTCTGGCAGCTTTAGTAGACCACGACCAGGTGGATACCTGGTGACCTCTCAACATTTCAATACGGCTGCTTCGCCTTGCAAGTTTTCTAGTCACTAATGTGTGGCCGCTTTGTATTGCTAACTTTTTGCTAGTTAAGCGAGAAAAATTCAACCATTTGGATTTTCAATCTTTATTTCATTTATTCTTCTTATAATGATGCATTAAAGGATTTTTTGGCCTCCTATTTCATACTAGCTACTAATTGTGGGGAGTAGGAGAGAAGGAATAGGGCTCAAAGGCTCCAAGTGTAAATTCATAATTGGAGGATGCAAAGAAATTAGTCATCTCCCCATGTCACTGTGCCATTATTCCTCTTCTCACTGCTCCACCTTGATACCTTTTTTTAAAATTTGCATAATTGCGCAACTCTTGAGTCGACAAGGAGATGAGGGTTGACTATGTTTGGAGCTTTAACAAATGCCCTTTACTATAGTTAGTCCATCCAAAATTATTTAACGTTGGGTTGTAAAAATAAAGAATTTGTCACTGTAGCATGAGAGGGATTTATTAATTTCCACCCCTTTTTTTTCCTTGGAACATAAATTTAGTTGAAGTGTTATTTTAACAAAATCATAACGCACATGCATGTTTTTCTTAAAAAAAAAATTCTGAAATGAGATTTATGAAGATTTAGACTCTCTTTGATTGAATATGGGTAAATGTGTTGTTTTGAACTTATTACTCTTCCTGTTTAAGCAGTTAGAGCCACCATCCACAAGAAATAAGGTTACCCACTATTGGAGGACTTATATTATGGCATATAAACATGACAAAAGCACAAAATAGAAACTCTACTGGCACCATTTTCAGGTGGATCAACATTTGGCATATGGCCTCTTTGTCTTGCCAGTTTTCCAGTCGCCAATGCATGGCCATTTTGTATTGCTAACCTTTTACTAATCAAGAGACAAATTCCTCCAATCTGATATCTTTCTTTTATTTATTCTTCTTGTAATTAAAGAACTTTTGGCCCTCTATTGCCTATTTGCCACTAATAGTAGTGAGTAGGAGAGAAACCACTAGGGTCAAGGGCTTCAAGTGTGAATTCCTGATTATAGGATACAAAGAAATAAATCGTCTCCCTGAATCACTGTGCCTTATTCCTCTTTTTCCTGCTCCGCCTCTCACCTAAATACTTTCTTTGAAAATTTGCATTACTAAGTGCTAACTGTTGTGTTGACAAGGGGATGAGAGTTGAGTTTCTTTGGAGCTACACCAAATGTTCTTTACTAACATAGTTAGTCCATCCAAATTTGTTTAACCATGGCTTGCAAAAATGCAGAATTTTTCACTTCAACACAAGCGCAGTCTATTAATTTCCTTTTTGTTTGTACATATAATGTTGTGAAGCATTGTTCCAGTGAAAACATGTTGAATGGTTTGCTTTCTGTCTGCTCAGCTTTTAGTTTTCGAGGATTTAGCAGTCCCGAGCCATAAAACAAAGAACATTGTAAATTATGTTTCCCTGATGGAGAATACAAAAAAGGTTTTGTTGGTTGATGGTGGCATTATTGACAACCAGTTGAAGCTGGCAACAAGGAATCTGCATTATGTGAATGTTCTTCCCTCAATTGTAAGTAAATTTTATATTGACGGTACCATTCTAATGATTCTGCTACTTATATTTAGATTTTATATCAGATCCTGATATTACTAGTGTCAGGGTTTAAATGTCTACAGCATCCTTCAGCATGACACACTTGTGATGACAAGAGATGCAGTTGACAAGATTGTTACGCGTATGCACACACCCATCAATCGATGACAGAGATGTTGAAGCCGTATGGTTAGAAAACTGGAATCGAGAATTGGTTAAGAGGTATTTAATGTTAGAAATTGATGCACTCACTCGCACTAATGAAATATTTGTTTGTGCTTGATGAATAAATCATTTTAGTGAAGTGTTAAGGCACTTATTTAATGAATTTATGTTAGAAATTAATGCAAATAACATGCCAATTTCAATGGATTAATGTTAAATATTTCTGCTTTTAGACTGATTCTTATTGATTCCTATTGATTCAAGTGTTGAGGCATATATGTTAATGGATCATTTATAGTATGAAAGATTAGATGAAGTGGAGTTTGAAATTGAATCAAATTTTATAATTACTGCACACTGTATATTATTTGTGTACAAACTCATGATATGTACTTATTATGGCTGTGAATTGTATCATGATATCACTGATTGCTCGAAAATTAGAATAATTTTTTCTTTGGCTTTTTAATATTAGTCTTTTACTCCTATTCAACAACTTAATTAAATGAACTATTCAGATGCGTGCAAGACTGCAAAGCAAAATGATACTGAGCTGGTATGAAGAAACCATTTGCATGGCTGGTCATCCTTGGGTTAAAAAAAGGGATTTGGTTGAGTTCAGTGAGATGGAGGAGTCGAACAGCAAGAGTAATGAAACGATGAAGAGAAAACAGTTATGATAACAAGATTGACAAAAAATAAAAGATTTCAAATTAGTAGGCAGCACGATTTTCCTTTCGGATTTTTACATACAATAGGGATCAATAAGGATTTGCTTAGTACACACACAAAGAGGTGAAAGGCAATGAGAGGATGCTAGTCAAATCATAACATGATTAAAAATAGAAATTTGTGGGCTATGAAAATTTGTGCCCCGGCCACTCCACAGACTCTTTTTTTTTTTTCTTTCGGGTCATCGATGAAAGTTTTAACTAGTAAGTTATGAGGTAAATTTTCAGAAGGTAGATTGAGTTATAAATAAGACACTACCCACAGATTTTGCCCTCATTTTGTGAGGACTTTATGATATGAGTTCTGGTTTCTTATAGGCGCAAGCCCCTATAGTTAATCACCTCTCTGGATAACGAGAGAGAACTTTCGATTAAGGCTAGTCGTTAAAGAGGTCGCGTAGGTTGCAAATCCAGTATATAAAGCAACAATTTTAGTGTTTGGATTTGGGATATGAATTTTGGAGTTTGAGATTTAAAGTTTATCACAATAAACTTAAAATATGTGATGGGGGGAAATGAAGACGAGCCCGATCAAGATCCCATGGTTCTATCGTCATGGGCTGTCATGATCTCTAGTCTACTTAGTCAAAGGAGGTAGTTGACCCAAACTGACAGAAAACACCTTGTCGGCAACTATGGGTTGCTTTGTCCATAGAGTCATTCAACCATGCACGTTTAGTTCCATAGTTCTTTCTCATTATCGGGAGGGGTAATTAACTATAGGGGCTTGCGCTTATATGAGACTAGAACTCAGATCATAAAGTCCTCACAAAATTTGGGTGAAATCTCTGGGTAGTGTCTCATCTATAAACCCATTTGTCTTCCCAAAATTGATCCCAAAATATAATACGTTAAAACTCCCCCGAAAAAATAACGGGGGAGGCCGGGGCTGAATTTTCGGAGCCCACAAGAATTGAATATTTATCATACTAAACAGTTTTTAGGAAACAGCTTTAAGATTTAATTACAGGATTTATTAAATTCCATAAATTAAATTCAATCCAATACCAAACAGCCCCTTAAGGTCATTCATTGAGGACCTTATCACCTTATGATCAACAAAAATTAAAAAAAAAGGTTGTTAAGAATTTGATCATATTAGTTATTTGAAATAATAATAAAAAAAAACATTATATTTTTTTGAACAATCTATAATCAAGATATTTAATATTATTGTTATCAATTAAACTACATGTAAATGCAATGATCAAGAGTATACTTAGTGACTACTAATTAGGAAATATGGTTAAGGGAACTCTTTATAAACGCTTTCACTAGATTAAGGAACTCTTTATAAATGATCAAGATCAAAGCTCATAAGTTTTTTAGTGACTAAAAATTCTTCAAATAATAAATTATAGTGTACTTAATATGGCGCATAATATTTTGTTAGTTAAGGTCGATTTGAATTTATTTTCTCTAACAAACATCCATCTATGGTCAGGGGCGGATCCAGCTTTTTTTAGGGTGGGTAATTTTTTTTTTGTAGGGGATGGGCAAAGATGCTTAGGATTAATAAAATTAGGGCAAAATTTTTTTTGAGAGAGGGCAAAATGTCCAAAGCACTCAAAATATTTTAAAATATCCCCTCTATTTTTTTTTTTTTTTTGAGGGGGATTTTTTTTTTTTTTTTTGAGGGTGGGCATTTGCCCCCCCTCAACACATGGGGGATCCGTCCATGTCTATGATCTATAAGATACCCTTAGATGAAATAACTTATAATTGCTAGCTGTTGAGAAGAATCCGTCGATCATGTAGACAAGTGACCATAATAACACAATGCGATGGAAGTATGAGATCTTAATCTGTTTCTCCATTATTTCCCTAGCCATTTACTTTTTAAGTGTAAAATGGTAAATTCCAATTCTAAATCAATTTGCTTCTACCATACACCAAGCACTTAGTGCCTATCTAATGACCTATCTTAATCGAAAGTTTTCTGTCACCACCTGAAAGAAGTAATTAATTATAGGAGCTTGTATTTATAAGAAATCTAGAGCTAGATCATAGAATCCTCGCAAAATGAGGACGAAATCTTTATGTGCCCATCTAATGACACATATTCTTGATTTTGGATTACTTTTCATACACATTGGAGAGTGCCTTTCATGCTAGGGGATAAACGAATGATGGTCTTAATTTATTTGTCTATTTGCTCCCACTCTTCCTAATTGATTGTCTAAAACCTTACTCTCTTTCGTCATTAATGGAGCTTTCTTTCATACACCCAATGCTTTATATTCATCTACCATAATCCAAAAGTTCTACAGTTCTGCCATTAGTTGAAGTCTTGTGCTAGTCCTCCTCAGAGTTGTAAGGCACGAGCTTAGATCATCAAACATGAACCTTCTCAGAAAAGAAGGAATGAAAGCCAATATTGTTTCCATTCTTTATTAGATCATTCAGATTTGTTAGTATTGGCTGAACCGTAAGCATCGATGTTAACCTTGCAATGTAACTACACTGCAGTATGGGTAGACAGAGTAATTATACTGTCTCCACAATCCTACGTAAATTGCTCAACACACTCTCTCGGTGGGCAAAAGACCAGCGTGCAGAAAGAGAAAGGCAAGCCGGCTCCATGCTGATCTTCTACTGATTACATAAGCTCTTCATTAATCCAGTGTTCCAGAAGTCACAACTACAAGAAGGGCTGTCAAAATCTGATCACGGGTTGGATTCGGGTGGAACCCAAAATGACCCGGCACTATTCAATACAACCCGAACCCGACCCTTTTTTTTGCAAACGGGTCGATTTTTCGAACTCTAACCTGACCCGCTTCTTTTATGTTTTACTCAACTTCTTTTTTGGAAATAGCATTTACTTATTTCGTAACAATCTTCTAGCGCCCTCTTAAATCAATTAAAAATGGGTTAAATCGAGTTGATTTTGGGTTTCTGGGTCAACCCGAATTTCACCTGGTTTTACAAATGAGTCAAAATCCCTAAACCCAAACTCGAAATTTTCGGGTCGGATTTTCGAGTCGTGTCAAATATTGACACCCCTACCTACAAAGATAGAAAAGACTCTATTGGGAAGCCAAATATCAAAGTCCAATGAATAACAAAAGGATTCATATAAATAAGCAATGGGAATCATGTTGGCAACAATTTGATAGTGTTATTGCCTTTGATTTTCAAAGTGATATTTTGCAAGTTCAATTTACAATTCCTAATATTTTGATTATGATTTTGTTTGAGATAGTTTTCTGGCTGCTTTATTTTTAATACAATTACAATTTCATTTAACTACTGCTTTCTTACTATTTTTTCATAATTAAAGTGGTGGAAAGGTGCTTTCTGAAAGCATAATAGCGAAATTATTTTCTCCGCAATAACTTCACAATCAACTTTATATAATATTATAGTCATCCCAAATAAATTCTAAATGTTTTCTGTGTAACTGTAATTGCAATGAAAAATGTCAAAGTAAATTTCACAACCTTAATCAATACTGAAAGATTTTTTTATAATTACTTCGCAAAACTTTTGACCTGAATACTTAGGTTTCGTTTGAAACGACTTTTTTATTGCTTCTTAAATCAGCTTTCTAGTACAAAATTAAAAATTTTTGTACTAAAAAGCTGCTTTAAGAAGCAGAAAAAAAGCGGTCTCCAACGAAACCTCAGTAGACAACTTCTCAAATAAAGCTCACTTGAATGGCATAAATAAGAAAGAAAGATCAAACATAGGCAATAGAATGCCAATCATTTATCTATGGATAAAGTCTACACACAGAGAAATAGGCCCATGAGATGATAAATAATTATCCATAGAAGCACTTTTTTTTTTGAAAATGCTGACTGATTGTCTATATAAACCTCTGGCCTACATCTTAGTAAGAGGTACCAAACTCCTCCCAAAAGTAGGTGGGTTAAAATGGGTTAATAGGTGTGTTGAATCTGAAATTGATTTGATCTGAATCCAATCAATTCAAATTTAGGTTTCGTTTGGGGCGTCTTTTCTTATTGCTTCTTAAAATAATTTTTTAGTACAATTATTTTAATTTTTATAATTAAAGAAACAGTAAGAAATATGTCCCAAATTAAGTCTTAATCCATTTAATAAATTGGGTAAAAAAGATGAACCTAAACCTGACCCACTTTTAACCTAGATGACTAGAACTCAACTTGATAACCCAGTTTGATTAAAATGGGCTAACCTATAATTATATAATTTTTTTAATAATTTGTCAACTATATATTTTAGATTAATTGATAAAAAATAAGAATAAAATATCATCAATCAAAAGATTTTAAGCCAAAAAAAAAAAGAGGCCGCTTTCAAGTCAAAATTGGGTTCATTGATCAACTTGGACCATACTGTCAATTAAATAGGTCATAATTTCAAATCTGAATCCAATCCATTTATTTAATGATTCTACTTGAATCCAGATTTTTCTGATCAAGTTAACGGGTTGAATCATTTATTGACACCCCTACCTTAAAGCACCCTTTTTGAACCATGGATGCGGGCGGTCGAGTTACTCATCCAAGCAATACCAAAG